CTCAACCCCTTATTGTCTGCCAGCTTGGTGATGGCCACTCTCAACCCCTTATTGTCTGCCAGGTAGGTGACTGCCACTTTCAACGCCTTATTGTCTGCCAGGTAGGTGACGGCCACTTTCAACCCCTTATTGTCTGCTAGCTTGGTGATGGCCACTCTCAACCCCTTATTGTCTGCCAGCTTGGTGATGGCCACTCTCAACCCCTTATTGTCTGCCAGGTTGGTGATGGCCACTCTCAACCCCTTATTGTCTACCAGCTTGGTGATGGCCACTCTCAACCCCTTATTGTCTGCCAGGTTGGTGATGGCCACTCTCAACCCCTTATTGTCTGCCAGGTTGGTGATGGCCACTTTCAATCCCTTATTGTCTGCCAGGTTGGTGATGGCCACTCTCATCTTTTTTGTTTGCGAGTAGCTGCTGGCCATTTTCATCCTCTATTGTTTTCTGGATTAGTGGTGGCCATTCTAACCACCAGCAAGGCTGGTGATGACAGTAACTCCATGATGGTGGTGGTCATCATGCTTGGTTCAAATGTACAATGCAAAAACCTGTTTTTAGGTTCTTCAAATTTCCGAATAAATAATCAACTGCAATTGTTAAAATTAGTAAAATTGTTATATTTAATAATAATATCACTCACTTTTTGATTTGCTTTTTTTCTTCGATTCAATGTTTGATTCTTCCCGTCCTGGACCCATTCCGGCAAGAATAAGACTTGGGTCATCTAAAATACTGGGATTCGATTTATCTTCTTCTGGCATTTGTTGAGTCTGAGGTGATGTAACCATGGAGATGGGTGTGATTGGAGATTCTGGAAGCTTGATTTCATGTCTGATTCCCGGAGTTAACGTTATTTCAATCTCTTCATGTCTGGGTGTACTTGCTTTATTTGGTTGCCATGTGCCCATAGGTTGAATCACCCTAGTTGTAGAATGTGTAGCCTGCATTGGCGTTTTTTCTTGAGGTGTTGAGTGGCTTGTGGTGATAGTTGTTGTAGTGGTCGATTGGCGGCGATCTGGGGTGTCATGGTACGTAGTAGTGGTTGTCTGGCGGCGTTCTGATTGTTGTTGGCTACCTGGTGACCATACTCCAGTTTTTGGTGGTGGTCCAACAGGTATGCTCATAGGATTAAATTGCGGAGCTTGAAACTTGAACTGGAGTGTGCCTGGGGTACTGCCTACAGAAAACAATTAAAAATAAGGTTTTTGAAATTTTTAGAATTATTTTTTAGTGAAAAATAGCAATTAAGCCATGAATATCGATATACGGCTGTGATTGTGAATAAATTAATCATGTTGAAGTACAAAGTTTTTAAAAATAAAATTAAGATAATTCGAGACTTAAGACAATTAAGACAATTTATTATTATTGCCATGGTGACATCATTTGCTTGTTTACACTAAGCGTTGTATTCACAATCTGTGCACATTTCAACAATACGACTGACACAATATGCAAAAAATAAAAATAAAAATTCAATATACTGCACATGAAAGGGGGGTGGGGAGTGTGTGCACTGAGAAGCAAGTTCATTTTCCTGCTTATGATCATGAACTGTGAATGCTATTATTTACATATGCAAATGAGATGAACAAATAAGCGTCAATGGTGTTGTTTTAATTTATATTCACATCAATAAGCTCATAAGTTGGTTTCAAGCCATCAGTACCTGCTATTGTTTCAGTGTATGCTTTGCTCTCACAGATAATTTGAGAATATGCTAATAACTTGCCAATCTGTATCGGATGTTATTACTGACAGCGGTTAATCATTGCAGAATTTAGATTTATTTGTCCTTATATCTTACAGTGATCAGTCTTTCACATGAAGGATGGATGGAGATTCACTATTCAAGATTTCACTATAAATCGATGTATCAATTTTATGTAAACTAAATTGTGTATACAATATTCGGACTTGCCCTGTGTGAAGACGTTAGTTTTATTGAAACTTGCATTATGTCATGCAGTAGCCATCATGTAGAATTAGTGAGTAAATATATAGACACATGCAAATACGTAAAAATACATTACGTGTAACATTCTTGGTAATATAGTTATGGTTAGTTATGATTATTTACCATTGGTTAGTGAGCTTTCAGATCTGGTTGGTATATTATGAGTAAATTCTTGACGTGTTTTGTTTTGTTCCTTGTCGCCATGGTGATTCTCAGTTATAGTTTCAGTGATATTCTCTGTGATCACATGACCGTCTTTTGTAGTAGTGGATCTTTCCTGTCTCCGTCTTCTCACTGACACCCCTGTAATGTTCATCATGCATTAAATTTAACCTACCTTCCTCACACAGGGGAACAATTGTTGAGAATTATTAGCAAGATCAAAGCGTTACTGCAAAATACTTTATTTTCACTTGGAACTAATTTTCGCTGTTTTTGCTAAGTCAAATTAAAATCCAGCGAATATAACCTTTTTTCCCGATATTTAACATTCAACTCATCAAAAATCAGTGAAAATGAATTCCATACAAAACACCTAAAAAGTCTTTTCAGCAAAAATTAATTCCAGCTAATATAAAGTATTTTACAGTATATTATTTGAACACATTCAAGGAGGATATTTTAATTGGGAAAAAAACAAAAGATCATAAAAACTGGTCAAATGAGGGCATTGTAAAATGATTTGATTCAGCACATTGCAACACAGTTGTTGGTCTTGTTATTCATACATGTATGTAAGCGATGTAAATCTGCTAAAAATAAAGCAATACATGCATTGAAGTTGTTAAAACAAAACACCAACACTGTTTGAAAATATTTTCCGCAAACAACAATCCTTAAAGCATAAATCATCCGAGTTATTCAAACAAACAAATCTGAAACTGATAAGAAATGTAGTCTGCTGTCATTATTTCTAATTCTCAACTTTGTGAATTTCAATGAAATACAATTTGTCTATATAGTTCAGCTCAAGTGGCCAGAGGTCATCATTGTTTAACATCATAAATCTGTCATGCTGTTGTTGCAATTATCATGAACAAAGTGGTTGTTAAGTTAAAGTTTTACGATCACATTGGTAACATATTTATAAATGTCAGGTATCTGTCACCCCTATTTATGTCAGTGTTAACACAAATTGCAGTGATGTGGACTTGTTTTTAAGTAGGAGGGAAAAAATGAAAATGTAGGTGGTTCCAACAAATCTAAAAAGCTAAAAAAAAGAATTTATTCAAAGTAGGTGTGTACTGTAAGCAGACTAGAGACGCTTAGCAGTTCAAACACAAGCATTTGCACTAATTCTTGTTGAATTTAATTATTTACTCAAATATTTCTTTAATATTGACCTAGCCAAAAACAATTTTATAAATATAAAGATTTTTTTTATTGGCCACCATAAAATGAATATCAGGTAATATATGCTATGCATTTCATCAACCTCGTCACAATACCATGTGATAAGACCAATCCAATTTGGTTACCATAGAAACTACACATAAATCAGAGATGGGGGATGTAAATGATTGCCTACTATACCTTCAGCATGTGTAACTGTAACTGGTGCCATGGCCGGAGCTTTGACTGGTGTACTACTCTGTATACCAGATAAGTTGTTATTTGTTTCTCGTCTGCAAGTAAAAATAAAAGAATTTTTTTTTTTTTTAAATTGATCTTTGATTAACCCGTCAAGTGCTATTACAATTTTATCTAAATAACCCTGTATAAGCTTTTCCATATTTTTTCAAATGTGATATCTACTTATTCAAGAATAAACTATAGATGCGCTACTAATAGAAGAAATACTGTATCTGAGTCTTAGTCAATTTAATGAAATGTTGTCCACTATCTTAAAACAAGCAACACAACAATGGGAATAAGGCAATGAATGCTATAAGCCTCTAGTAATAATAGTAGTGATATAACCCACTGTTAAAATGAGTAGTATAAATCTCAATTAAAAATGAATGGTATGAATGTTTTTGTTTCAACCTTTACATCACCAGTTCCCTGTTTTCATCACAAATTCACAAAATAGTCCCGTTTATAGTTTGCATTTTCCTTCCGAAGATTGGAACAAAAATAGCCAAATTGTTTAAGTAAAAACTGAAAATTGATTCAAATCTGTCGGCTCCAAAATTAGAGTTCATATCTAAAAATATTGGAGAATATAAAAAAGAAAGTGTGGACAAAGTTGGGCGAGAAAGTCCTGTGGTGGAAAGATTGAAGTAAAAAGAGAAAGTTGTTGTGCTTCAAGTGATGTTTGCATATATATAATCTTTTCTACTGTATAAATTAGTTATTCGGTGTCTCGTACATTTTCTTGTATGGTGTCTCGTGTAATGTAACTTAATCTTGGATGTCTACCACGTGGACAACTGAAGCAACAGATCCAGTCCTAAATCTACTCCCACCCTACTTATTGTGTGGTCCTAACTAACACTTTTTCTCACCCAAAATTCAATGCAAATATTTTCACATTCCATGTGGGAAAGAGCAGATTACAAAATTATTTTGTAGATGGTGCCAAAGGTTGACAATGGCGATCAAAGGGTTAAAGACAAAGTGGAATGAATGCATTAGCTAAAACACAATGATAACATATGGAGTCTAAAGATGGGTCAATTTGGTCTAAAATAAACAAAGAAATTATACGTTGCACCCAACATGTTTGGTGTGAAAATAAAATGATGGCCTTCAAAACCACAGAAAATAGTTACATCAATACAGTGAAATAAAGTAAAAATAGGTAAAAATGGTATATTATTTATGAACAGCGCCCCCTAGTGACAAATGACCATAGATGTTTGAAATTTTGTCAAAGAAAAAGAGTCCAGTGATCAAGGTGTTAATATTTTTCATTTTCTGGTTGTACAATGAAGACTGTGTGCCAAATATTAAATAAAGTTATGTAACAAATTATAAATAAATTTCTAAAACAACTATCTATTTCTCTATCAGAATATGTTGGTTTCTATGACAACAACTGTGGATCAAATTAAAAATGTTTTATGAAAATTGTTATACATTTAAATATACGTTTTGTTTAAAATTAAAAGCTGATAAATTTAGTAGCAGTAAATTAAAATTTTTGGGGGGTTTTATATTTTGTAAGCTAGAATAATTTTTTGCATATAGGGAATTGTTGACATATACAGGATGTGTACATGTAAATAAAAAACAGACAAACAAAAAATCAACTCCGATCCTAGCTGGTTCCTTGTAACCTAACATATCATCTCAGTGGGTAACCTTTTGATGTATTTAGACAAAATTTTCAAGGCTTCCCAGAATGTGTCCACATCTGGCCGAGAAATTGAAATGGAAGCTAGGTGAAACAAAACTCCCTAGTACATGTATTTTCCCTAACGATACTATCCGTACTATGTACCCTATAAGCACCAAATGTATATATTCATTCCAAAATCGGGTTTTTAGAAAATTAAACCCCTATTTATTTTGTGTCTAATTATATTAACAAATTGCACAGTATTGTAGGGGTTTTAAACTAGACTGCATGTTACAACGTCTAATTTTAGAAAAACTATTTGCCAAAGACTAAATCTGTCAATGAAATTTGATACATCCCAGTCTAGTTATTTTGAAAAGTACAATAGAAGACAATAAGAACAAATCCACCACCACTACATTCAGTATAGTGCTTAAAAAACCTATATATGGGCTGAACTATGGCACCAACTCATCAGTCACCTCAAAGGAATCTACCCAAGCAGAACAAATTCCATATGAAACACAAACAACTATGCACAGAAACGCATTACTATGGTAAAGATAGTGGGACACAGGTAAATACAATAAGAGGACAATGTGAGCTTTATTTGCCATGACCTGCGGAAACAGATGGGACTATGTGTTAAGCTGTCTGCTAGAGCGCCGTGCTTGTCTTCAGATTATTCGTATTGAAATAAGTAGTGTATTATGGCTAGACAGCTTAAAGATTTCATGTACAAGAACATGACCAGTTTAGGTTTATAAACTCTTTATGAATTGTGCGATGAAATGGAAATAAAAAAATAATACCACTTCATTATATCTTGTCACATTTATAAGTAGCAAAGACAACAACGATATGAAGAAGCTTCCAATTCAACCCTGGTTCTATGAATCAAGACCAGAAAACAAAATTTATTTTTATAATGAATGAAAATGACATAATTACTGAAACAGACTAAATTTATTAAAAGGTTTTTCTACAAGACTAAAGTTTTTAAAATCTTTTTCCACAAGGCAGCAACATCAAATCGTGATATAAAGAGAGAAAATTTTCATTTTCTTTCAATTATTTTTGTTTTGTTACCCGTATTTTGTTCTTGTCATGTAACTTTAGTGACCTAACTACTGATCTCTTTGGAAACAGTGTTGTGTCTAATAAATACAATTATCACAATCCAATCACATTACTGCACTTGAATGAGCAAGCAAGTAAATAAATAAATAGTATAATTTGGGGGATTTTCATGACATTTTGTTGTTATTTAATTTATTTGTTAGATTTTTTGAGGAGTGACATATCACTTACAGGCCAAGGATTTTCAATTCATTAGAATGTGTCATTTTTGTTGTTATTACTGACAATATAGTCCACAGCTAGGACATTCCAAGACTTTAATATTTAACAGTGAAACTCTCACAAAGGGTCAGTCAGCAGAGGTCTACGAAAGCCAAAGTACTGCTTATTTATCTACTGAGTGTGGGTAAAGTACGGCATCAACAATTTACTTTTAACACAACTCAATTAATCACAGTATATCAAGACATCAGAGTAATAGAGCTGACAAATCAGACAATAAATGGGTGGACTTCTTAACTATGACAGTCAAACTGTCACATATTCATTGATGTGAACAGTGAATGTACATGTCCACATTGCAA